ATGACGACGTCATTTATTCTAGTTGCATTAAATAGTATATACGCTTTACACCAGTCTAGGTGGCTCAGTCGGTAGAACCTCGCACTCGCAGTCAAACGACTGCCAGTTCGCATCGCGACTGTAGTCGCTGTTCTGAGCTAGATGAATGAGTAGTCCTTAGCAAGAAGGAAGAAAGTACCACATGCTGTGCTTCCCAAGGGGTAGGTTAACATCTGAGGATTGTATGTGACGATAGGTTAGCACTAGCGCTTCCATCTGTTATTCACGGACTTTCATTGGGTGTTCAATCACGACGTTTCATTGGTACCTGTGTTTCAGTATTTGTGTTTTAGACTGTCAATCTTTGACGAACGCCGAAACAATCGGTCTGCAAGAAGTCTAGTAGAACACCCTCTTTCCTAACAGTAGAAGCCTGCTGCCATTAAAAAAACACTTGGTTGAGGGACTCAGTAAAAACTGCATTAATCGTCCATTTCAGCGATACAGTGTGTGCGACGTTCGCATGACGTTGCCATTCCTCAGCCTCATCGCGCCGACTACTAAGGGTTTGCACGCCTCATGAATTAAACTTGAGTATATCGATGTAGGAGATGTCGAGGTCAGAAGGTTGCTGTTCGCAAACGACTCTGTTTTGTTGGCATCTTCTGAAACTGATCTACAGCGCTCCCTGGAAAGGTTTGCCGCTGATTGCGACGTGGCCGGTATGCGTTTGAACGTATGTAAAACGAAATGCTTAGTGCTTTCTGGTTCTCCTCTCCGTTGTTCTCTTCACGTTGAAGGATAAGCAGTAGAGCAGGTAGAGAAGTTCAAGTACTTCAGTTTACTAGTGATGGAAAATTTGAGGAAGAGATTGTCCGGTGGTTGGGGTAATCACTGGCGTTCTACACGAACTGTCCTTAACCATTGTGATTAAAGCAGAGTTGAGTCTGAAAACTGAGCTCACGGTATTCAAATCGATCGTTACCCCATGCTTAACTACAGTCATGAGTTGGGGATCATGACGGAAAAATTTCGATCGCGGATACAAGCGGCTGAAATGGGCTTTCTGAGATGAGTCACTGGCCTTATGTTTCCCGACATGGTCTGGAATACAGACGTCCGAGAGAGCCTTAGTGTACAGCCGCTGCTTCTTCAGACAGAAGTTACAGCGGCGATGGTTTTTGGTGTATTGCGACTGCCTCCGAAAACGGAGGCGAAGCATCTATTTTTTGCCCAGCTGACCGGCAGAAGGCCAGGTCGGCGGCCACGGTTAACCTTGTGCAAGTATGTCGAAGGAGTCTTCTCTTGACTCCAGTTGTGTTCTGCCGAATCTCAGACTCTGGCACAGAATCAGAAACGTTGGAAGCAGTGCCTGACGCGTCTGCCTCTGCGACCGGAAAGTGGATTCAGTTGTGCATGAATGAAAATGAATTAAACCTCGTTTTGCGACGCTAATGCGAATCGAGACGCAGAACAACCTGACCATTATGAGGTTAAGATCTTTGAACAGTCCCATTGAAGAGGAAGTTTTAGACATGGGCGGAAACATTGGTTTTCAGCTACTTCTGCGCTCTTGATTGCCACTTATTTTAAGTCAATTAATGAATGATTCCTCCCAAGCCATTTTTCACGGCGTACTGCACCGCCTCTTTTCTCCTAGTTGCATAATGGCGCGGGGGAGGGGGGTCGTTTAAGCAGGCCACGGCTCCATGGTGTGTGAACACCTGCAGTAAAAGATTCATGCCGTATCATTTTATCCGCTAGAGCCACCTGATGCTCATCACGAACGTTGTTTAAGGAGCTGATGCTTTTTGCAGCATAAACATCATAAGCTGCTCTTACGCCTAATTATGTCAGATAGCGAGTGAAAGCGAAATTTCACGGCGTATTGCGCCGCCCACATATTCCTTAAACATGTATGTGATAAAGACGAGGTGACTCTAGCAGATAAAATGATGCAAGGTGCCTCTGGAACTTTTGGTGCACAAATACCAAGGAACCATGATCTGCTTTAATTGTCCCCCTAGACAACTAGGAGAAAGGGAGCGATGCAATACTTCATGAAATTTTGTCTTGGAGGAGTCGCACGTTATTTGATATACTCAGATTTATGAACAGCGTATGATGCTTATTTTAAGTTGTGATAATATCCGTTTTAATTCTGCACATTTTGTGACAATCGACTTAACGAACATGTATCTACCTATCTTTGAAAAATGCAGTGCCAGTAACACATTATAGTAATAACAATACTAATACTTATACCAGTATTAATAATTGCAAAACTAGCGGTGTAATATTCAGAACAGCAAGCAAGTCAAATTTGTCTGTTGTTTGTCCAGTAGTTATCAAGTGTTGCTTGTTTCTACGGTTTAATGGTTTGCCCTGTTCCGGCGGAGAAATACACGCCAAATTCCTAAATTCCTGTATCATTCTTTTTAACTTTTATGTTCGAACGAACTTATTTTGTCACTTCAGTACAGCACATGTTTTATTTCTATCTGATTGTTTCATTTCAGGTTCTTGTTCTGGTTCCGTAAATTTTTCGCTTGCAGAGTTTGTTTTTTATAGCATCGTACACTTTAGCAAAGGATCTAACTTTGCCCATTCAACGTCTTTTCCTGTGTGAGATTTCATTCCACTAGTTTCCGTTCTTTACAGGAAAATGTACGTCCTTTTTTTTCTAGAAAAAAATTTAGATTATGGTTGAAGTTCGTTCCACACTGAGTAATGTCGCAGTATAAAGTTGTTCCACTAGTATAAGGGCAATCAAGCAACTGTCAGCAAAAAAATCTATTTTGTAACCGTTGGGGTGTTGGTACTTTCCTATAACGCTTTTCTGATCAGTTCTGTTTGTACCACTATTAATTGGATTTATGGAACAGCGTTGATTTCCCTTACGGCTTCATCAGCTACGAAAATCATATATTCCTCCAGTCAACTTTTGCAACTGGATGTCCAGTACAGTATGTAAATACTACTTCCTTATCACGCAGTGCTGCTGACTTATTTTCCTGGTAGGATTAAGTGCATGATACCTCAAAGAATTCTAACAGTCGATCTCCTGGCGGCATGTCCTACTCTCTATCAGCTAACCCACCCTGATCTTTTGTTTTATGTTCATCATTGGGTGATCTTTCGAGCTTTAAGACTGCCATGTGTTACGGCACGTGTTGCTAACGACGAGAAATGCCGCTGAAAACAACTGGTTATTTTACCCCAAGAAAGTTCTTAGATACCTAAAATGTTTGTATCATCCGATAATGCAATATTTTTTTCGATTGACGAAACCGTTTTTTGCTGCTTTTCAGTTAACTATCAATTCTCGAACGACTTCGGTTGTTTTTAATTTTATGGTCAACATTGTTTTTCTGGAAATGTCAGGGTTCAGACTGTGTAAGCTACAGACCACTGCGGCAGTAACCCAGCTGAATGGCATTGCTGCTTTTTTCTGATGCTGTTGTCGATTCTTTTCATAAATTTATGACAGTATTCTTCCACTTGAATCATCTGCAGCGCAAGCAAGAAAATATCTTTATTTCAGAAGACTAGAGGTACCCTTATTTTTATTTATCTTTATAGCAGTATCTTGATATCTTTATCTTTATTGCCTACTGGACACTTGCTGTCACTCAATCAGTTGAAATAGGGGTGATTCTCGGACTAAAGATGATTTTCTCTGCGTGCTGTTAACCATGGAATTGGAAGAATCCGCCATTTTCAAAATTACTATAAAGTTACTTATGTTTATGTTAATTATACTGCAACTGCGATGTTCTTGTTAAAATTAATTCTTAGTAACTTGTCGTTTCTAGTGTCTCGCTTTTTGAATCTAAAAGCTAAAGTAGATTTCAAGTGTTTATAAATTTAGTTGTGCCCATGCGCAAAAGGAAGTTCGAGTCGCGCTCGTTGGCAAATACACGCAGTTCATGGATGCCTACACCTCGGTTGTCAAAGCTTTAGAACATTCCGCTCTTGCCTTCAATCGCAGACTGATCTTACAGGTAGGCCTTATCTACAGCGATTACCTAGCACTTTCACGGCAGTGTCATCGTCATTGGATGAAAGTCTCTCTTGACTTGGTGAGGCACCATGTGCTCATAGCAGTTTGTCGAAGGGAAATTGAGCGTAGTGGATTCTTTCGACTTCCCTCACCTCGTTGTTTCTTTGTAAAAGTCGGTTCCAGTCAATTGTTATCTGCCCGTGGGAAAGCATTTTTTGTCACCACTTCTGTGAATGACTTTGGTCGCTAATCAGCGACAACGGATGTGATGTTGAATTCTAAAATTCTTGCAAGCGTGCAGTTTTCCTACCCAGAAAGCCGTGTAATGATGCTGATTTAACTGGTATGCTGCCTTTTTGGAACTTGTCGTAAGCTTTTCATAGGAACATTTCTCTGTCGGCAGGTTTATACTTAAAAAGCATAGGAAATAGGATATGCTATGGGATAGATGAAGGGTGTAATATGTAGCTGTATTATATTGTCATGTATATTTTGACACTACCAGAATAATTCAAACGTTTGTCATCATCCGCTTGCTTCGATTCACGCTGGTTGAAATATATCTACCGTTTCGTTACGGAAAAGTTTTTAACGCTTTCAGAAAATATTACAGACCACATCCGTGTAGTTGAATCATTACATGAATGTAAAATCTTTGGCAATGATATCGTGCTGAATATTACTGCTCCTGTCAATGCATGGGGTGCATTTAGTGCAGTTTCCTTTTCTTGGTCTCATATCATTCATCAAGAATTTTTTGGCTCCCGTTTCTCATGCCAGTAAGCCTTTGTTCTCCGTTCAGGTGGTCAGGTGACATGCTAAGAAGAATTCATGATACTTTTTTCGACGATTTATAAGTATACTGACACAAGCTGTTCTGTTCGGTTGCTAATCATATGTCCTTTTCGAAGGTGGATCTGCCTTAAAATTCACAAGGAGTTCTGTGAACCCCAGCTTCCAGGGTCTTGTTAGCTGACATTTTCAGGGTTAATGACACCATTCACTTTTGCTATAGCGGTTTAGAATAGTGCATGGCAGTGTACCACTTCATACCACGTGATGTCTGTTTTAGCCCTTGCGACCTATAGATGCGTCCTGCAACATTGTATTCGTCTTGTTACCAGTGATGTTTCGGTTGCGTCGACTGCTCATATTCTATCGCAAAGTATTCTCAGTATGACCTCGAACATTTTTGTATGTTCATTATCGTAGCTCCACCATACCCGGCTTTACGGCATTATGATGCACAATGCTATTAGCCCTTGAAGCATTGTTTGTGATCATCAGCATCTTCCACGGCTGTTTCTTCATTCGAATCATCGAAGCAGGTGCGTTGGTGCTTCCAGCGTCTCTGATCCTGTGCCAGAGCCTGAGCTTCGGCAGAATACAGCTGGAGTCTAGAGCAGACACCTTCCATATATTTGTACTAGGATAATCTTAACCACTGAGTCTTCTATCTATCTGCAGGACGAGAAATAGTTGATTCGCGTTCCTTTCTGGAGGCATTCACAACATGCCCAAATCATTGCAGTTGTGACTTCTCAGTCTGAAGAAGCAGCGGCTGTACATCAAAGTTCTCGCTAATTTCCGTACTCAACCATTTCGAGAAGCGTTTAGACTCATCTTAGAAAGTCCCATTTTCAGCCGCTTGTACTCGGAATCGAAGTTTTTCCGTCATGGTTCATGACTCATGACCGTGGATGAGTATGGGGATGACAATTGATTTCTATACCGAGTACTTAGTTGTCAGACTCAGATCCGCTTTAGTTACAACGGTTCGGGCCAGTTCACACAGAGCGCCACTGACTACTCCAACCGCCGGACGATCTTTAACTTTTTCTTTCATCAGTAGACACAACATCAAAGGTACTTCAGCTTCTCCACTTGCTCCACTGCTTGCTTCTCCGTTATTCTAAAGAGAACAGCTGGCAGGAGAACCAGCTAGCACACTACTTTGCGTTTTAGAAACGTTCAAACGCATGCTTGTTGCGTCGCACTCCACTGCGAAACTTTCTGGAAACCACTGTAGATCAGTTTCAGAAGATGCCAATAAAACAAAGTCGTCCGCAAACAGCAGCCTTCTCGTCTCCACATCACCAATATCGATGCAATCATCGCCTTCGCTGCGCCTGACTATTCTATCCATGTACAGCACAAACTGGCGTCCGCGGAGACCAGTGCCAACGCAGTACATGCTATCGGCATATAGCGATTTAGTGGCTCGTTGCAACCGTTCATCAATTTCATATGTTCGCAGGCACATCCACAAACTGTTGCGCGGGATCCAGCCATAGGCTTCCTCCAGATGAACAAGGCAGATGTACGCCGGATCGACGAACTCTCGCGATTTCTCACGAATCTGAAGCAGGTCTAATATCTGATCAGATATGCTTTGGCCGGGCCGGAAGCTACACTGCTCTTTTTGGATCTTGGAGTCAGTTGGTTATTCCATGACAACTCTTTTCTAGCACCTTTGCGTAGACTTTACCTGGGAGGCTCAATAACGTAATGCCCAGATAACTGGAGCACTCCCTGTGGTCTCCCTTCTTGAATTAGGGTACAGTGACTGCCGTTCTCCAGTCCGCTTGTGTCTTCTCCGCAGTTATTGCAGTTTGAAAGGTACGTGTAAGTCAGCACATGCCTTGTTACCTTATTGCTTTGAACATTTCAGGGCGGATTTCATCAATTCCAGCAGTTTTTTCTCCTTTCAAGCTTTTCACCTCTTGTGTAATTTAATCTACAGAACGTTATATCCGTTCTCTGCTGCTCTGCAGGCGAGTCTTCCTGCGACTGTTCAGTGTTAAGTAGTTCTTCAGTGTATTCTCTCCATCGAAGGATGTACATCTTATCCTTGGTACGAGGCTGTTCACACCTGTCCTTCAAGACTGTCCTTTGTTTCACCTTGGAGCCGGCGGATGGTCTGCGAGAATGCCTTATTTGCCGTCTGGAAGTTCGACTCCAGTACTTCACCAATCTTTTATCAGAAATCAGTAGCAAAAAGGCGATGAACAGGGTTTGATCGCCGACTTGTCGCAGCCGGCCTCAGTCTGCCCTGCCAACGCGGCTCTTGGTAACCCGGGTGACGACCGAGCCGGTGTATTTTTCGATGTCGTCAGTACCACGAAGGGAAGGTGGCTAAGTTTTACGGAGACTTCGCCACGGTCTCCAACCCTTTTCCTTTCTCTTCCCGGCTTGGAACCTTCAACGGGGGGTTTCGTTAGTTATCATTAAAGTATTTCTCTAGCCAGTTCTAAATCAAATAGGATGCACGATAATGGCAGGAGCTTTTCAGACGCCCTTGGTTCTTGATCTGCTTAAAAAGCTCCCATGGCACTTATGAACCCAGTAATTTTGCCATAATACTGTGTAACTTTGTTTGATGGAGTTATTTATTTATTAATATACTGCCTGGCTAGGTAACCCATGTTTATGATTTATCGTAAACAGTTGTAAACATTCATATCTTTGTAACGCCTTAATGAGGAATGTGATAAATTAGTGAGTGTTAGAACTACTTAGGTAATGGTAGTGTTATGCGATGTATCTTGTGTAGGACTTTCATACCTTGGTTTGCATTCGTGCGTACATTTTATTTTTGAACATGCCTTTAGTGTGAATGTTTTAAATCTGTTTGTTTATCGAGAGG